CCTAGCCGATTCTTGTGATCTTCCCTGACACATTGTCTGTCCTTTGGCTTACGAACACTTTCGGCTCTGTTCGGGTCAATTGAATGTTTTCAGTAGTTTAATACTTTACTATCTCTGACTCTTTTTCTCTCCTTATAGACGTCTACATTATTTTATACTCGTGGAAAAGTCTACTAGAGAGGCCAGAGGTATCGGTTATTGCATTAAGTATTGAAAATGAAGCATTTTTCTTAACTTTCTATATAAATGGGAAGGCGCCTAATCATCTTCCACTTCTTACATAAAGTGCATGTATTAAATCACATGTGTCTGAAATTCTGTCAGATAAGGACTTTTACCCCCCCCCCCCCCCCCCCCCTCGCCGATTCGGAGCCGAACTATTGGGGAAAATGAAAGTGTCTAGCCTTTAGATGCAGAACTGTGCCCCAAAACTGATTTTCCTTAATTTCCATAGCTTCAAAAGTTTCAAATGCATCGAAATATAGACGCAAACAACCATTATTTTTCACTTTTCAAAAGTCTATACCCCTGGCCAACGCCATGCGCTGACGTCACGTAAACAACGGCTCTGCACTGAACAAATCACAGTAAATTAGAAGCAATCATTTTTCTACCATAATATTTAACAAATCTATGACCTTCAATTTTTTATTTGTTTTGAACTTGTTTTGTATGTTATTTCAGCATAAAATAATTGCAATCCCAATTTGGCTCCGAATCGCCGAGGGGGGGGGGGGTAAAAAGTCGTTGAACACCTGATGTATTTATATATAAAGGGGGTGTATACATCACTTTTATCAATCATATAACGGCTTATTGATAGAAATTCAGAGGCCTGTGATTTTTTTTTTAAAAATTGATATGACTACAATGCCCTTGTACAAAGCCGAGAAAAGGACACTAGTACTCGTATAATTAAATTACCTTTGCCCTTTTATTTGAAAATTACAGCTTTTTGTTGATGTTCTAAATTTCATCATTTTTAGCAAGGTGAAAATTGCTTATTTATACATTTAATTGGAAGTGGTGCTTGTTGTTTGAATTATCTTTTTCCACATGCCATCCAGCTTAATCCCACTCCGTATGTTACTGAATCATCCCAAGAGAGCATTTGTAACGCAAACTTAGACTTTGTGATATACAATGTACACCACATCAGCATACGAAGTATCGAGTGTGAAGATTCCATAGGTTATCGCAGGTTGTTATTCAAACTGTTTCTTAAAATCAATATGTTTGACATGTGGCCAGTTGAAGAGACGGCTTCCCCATGTGTGATATAATTTAACCACGCCTGATTCACCTATTATGAAAATAGAATGTATTTAGTAAGCAATTGTGTCAGCTATTTGTGAATCAAACTTTGCATCTTTAAACACAATAACATTGTTAAAAAGTTAGTAACGCCCATCTATTACTTTTCTGGTCATAATAAATTATCAAAAAATATGTATCGTTAAAACTACTAACATACAGTATGCCTCCCTGAAAAATATATAAACAACAGAAATTTATATGATTACCTTCTTACCTCCTCTGCTATCTTTTGACATTCCGTACAATACAACCTATACCAGGAATGTAATGATTTTTTTTTGTTTCAGGTCCATTTAATTTTCATCATATCGAATAATGTTTAAATCACGTAAATCAGGCCAAAAAAATCAGTGCATTTGGCGAAGTGCATCGTCTCAAGCCACGGTCCGGAGTCCGCATGTAGCTTTCTCCTACTCGGCCAGAATTGGAGAGGATCGTACAGTTTGGCCGTGGTTTGCGACAATTGGCGAATTAGGTCATGGTCAATGTTTTTGACAATCCAAAAAAGTTCTCAGCCGTTAAAATTGAGGGGGCATTACCATAACGTAGGCATGTACGAAATCATTAAAATTTACGAATATTAATTGTTCCGTTGATTGAGGAGTATCTTCTAATTAAAGAATTTCACTTAACCTGATATAATAACTTTAACTTTTACATGTTTTATCATTTCAAACGGAACTTGAAAATTCTTGTTGCTTTAAACTATACACTTCAAACTTCAACATATTATTACTCACGATTTTTAAGTGTTCTGATTTCTTTATTCATATCTCCCCTGCTTTTCTCCAAGTTTTCTATTTTTGACTTCACGGAGTATAATTCATCCCAAAGATGATGTAGTATCCCATGTTCTGACTTGGACAACTCTCGGACATCTCTATCCCTCAGTATACACAGTTAGATTTATATATTTTTTAGTGTGGGTAACACTGACATTCATTTTAAAATAGTTATAATTTTTCAAAATTTTAAAATACTAAGCATGATTGATAACATAGTGTTTATGTATATTGGTGTGGTATGTTTTTTTAAACGTGGTTTTTCTTGACTGGAAGTGTCAGAATCTTTATTTTAACAACTTTAAAGTGTATTTGAAGTAGATTAAAAAAATTTGATAATTTATTTATTTTACACAATCCGGAAGACAAGCCGCTATGTACAGAACATCGTACATACCTTTATAATAGACGTGGCGGCATTAATGATTAACCATCCACTCATGAAAAGAATAACACAGTTTTCTGTGAATGCATAGTTCCCGTTATCTGAAAAAGAAACAGTGATGAATGTTAAAACACTGTTATAGTCATTGATGATAAATACTATTCATGAAGGATAGGGAGATAACGAACAGTATCCATAGTAAGTATTTATTGAATATCATGGTATGGAGAAAAGAAGTGAGGTAGTAAACATTAGCTCTAATTCTGGAAACTGGAACCTTTCTTTAATTTGGAATGTCTCTTGCAATGCAAATAGTAGAAATGATCCAAGATATTACATGTACGAAGGAAGGTAAGAGGATTCAAATTTCTTCGAAGGCAAACACTTTTAGTTGCTTAGAGGATAATACTGATCTTACCTTTTGGTGATGTGGGTGTTTCAGCGATAATATCCAGCGACAAATATAAGTAATATTTGTTTGTTTGTTGTTTAACGTCCTTCTCGAGAATTGTTCACCCATATGGAGACATTATCACTTGCCAGTGGAGGGCTGAAAATTTTGGCCTATGCTCGTCACTCAGGGCCATTGAGCAGTAAGGAATCTTTTTCGTGCCAACACCTACTTTAATACTTGATCTCGGTGTATACGGTCTCATCCGAATTACTGTCTCCACATCCCACATTTGGATTTGCACCTGCACCCGCGACTGCTTACTGTGCAACTAGAGCAGACGCTCTTACAACTGCGCCACACAGGCAACTATCCGTAGTCAAAAAAGTACGTAAGGCTCAAAGTTAATTGGATAGATTTGAGACCTGCTCCTAAATCCTAAAAACATTACTTAAAATTGATCATTTTTTTACCTGAAATTGCAGCATCTGAAACCTTCACTGGTACAATGAAATACACTAGAAACATCTTCCATGCATCTCTGATTAATGTAGGGCATAAGAGTACTGACAATGAAAACTGTTCCAGAAATTTAAACTGGGACTCCAACAGTATCACAAAACCTTCCCCCAACGCTGAAGTGAGCTAAAAATTTCAATAAAATATTTTGATTTCTAAACAGCTGACTTATTTAAGTTTTTAAAAGTAATGAAATACGAAAAAATGAACAATAATCAAGCTCAGAAGTCCAATAAAACAGTACATATAGGGAGCAACATGGACCTCAAAAACATCAAAGGTGGGATCAAGTGTCACGGAGGAGGAAGCATCTCCTGCCGACCGGTCACACCGAACATATGCTCCTTGTCATGTTTTGCAAAATAGGAAAATCTCCAGAAAATCAGTGTGTACATAAATACAGTTTTGCTGTTAGGTTAACATTTACGTCCTTTTTTAAAGAAACATATCCAAATATTAAATTATTGGATGAGTTTTGCCTAATACTTAAGAAATTAGTTACACTAATAATGAAACTCAAATATCAATTTTTGTATCAGCAAACTACTCATATCATCATTTCTAAGGGGGTCTAAAAATGAGGGCAAAAATCTTCGCTTTTTTAAAAATAATAAACTTATACTAGTATATATTGTTCAGATCAAATCAAAAAAGGAATTTAAAATAGAAAAAAATTGCAGGCTTTTTTTTTTTTTACACCATCAGCATTCTGCATATTTACTAATCATTGTATTTCGTGATGATTGCATTTTGCCTGAGTTATCGGCTTTGTTTCCTGAGGGAATTTTTATTTTGAACAAACATCACTCATGGAACAACACATGTCTACTATTTTTAACGATAATAATTCTATCATAGACACATTGATTTTATATTGTGTTTTTGTCAATTTAAAATGATCATAATGGTTACATAGGAAATTTTTTTGGAACATCATATGGAAAGACGGGTTGTATTTTGAAATAATTATGAGTAAAAAAAATGCAGATAAGTTGTTGCGATATGATACCCAAGGTTTTCTTGAGAAATAAATGAAGAGAAGGGCAGCATTTTGTAGAATTACGTATTCGAATTGGACATAAGGGTGAGATGCTTCTATAACGTGACGTGACATATCTAACTTGACGTTACGTCGAAGTCTCAACTATCCATTTTCAGAAAGCTCGTATGACCTTGTTAGTAATTGGAAAGTGGTGAAATTTTCCAATATTGTTGCATTATGAATCTGTATTATGAATATGCCTTTTGTTTGCTTTTATTAAATCACGCTAAAATTTTAGAAAGAAATTCCACGAACTTTCGGATCAACCCTCGTATATTAACGTTTCTTAGAAATGTGCAATAAACCCATGCGACTACAGTATTGCAAGTCATACAATCAATCAGTCGATTTACTCGTTTTACATGTATTTTCTTTTCCCATTTTCTTACATGTCTGTTTTATTATTCAGGAAAAATAATTTATTTTGGAAAAAAGTGTGGATAATTTAAAAAATGAACAGTTATCTGGGTGACATAAGTTTTTTTTTCTATCTGTCTCAAGCCGTTGATAATATTTCCCCTAATACTTCAGACATAGTTATATGATCGTATGCTGTAATTTCAGATTGGAGGATGTGATTCTAAAGATACATGGTAGTGAGTGTATTTCTTCTGGTCACACTAGCTGTTCCTCAAGTAAGTCAGGGTTTAAATAAAGTTCCATTTCCTTATATCTGTTTTATTTTTCCAAAAAAGATATATAATTTTGAAGGAAAAAACTGATTTATTTTTTTAAAATGAACAAGATTTTATAAGTGTTGTCATTTTAGACCCTGAAACCAGACGGAAAAAACATCTGGCAAATATTGGATAATATGCTTTTACCAGTACATGTACTTCTTTCTTTCATGCATTTTCTCCTCCCCCTTTCTCTCTCCTTACCCTGCTCCTCTTCTCTACCCCTTTCTGTCTCTATTTTAATTGTCACTATTAAAGATGATACTATTAATAATTATTTCATATACGGTATATGTTTGTATACGTTATTATTAATATGTTTTGTTACAATTGATAGAATTTAGAAAAGGTTTTTTTTAAAAAAAAAAAAGATTATATAAAGAAATATCAAAAAATATTTCCATATATCATAAAGATTCATGATTTTTTCTTCAAATTCTTAAATAGTGGTAAAGGAATAGCCTTTTTTATACAATAAAAGGAAAATGATTCATTAAGAAGAAAAATAACATAATACTGAAATAATGAAGGTTCTGTTTAATGCATTTCATGAAAAGAAATTCATTGAACAATTCTATTCCCTCGGTAAAAGTTTACTAAATATCTTGCTAATCTTATAATAATTTGAGGCTTTATGAATTCAATGAAGTTTTAATGACAATTTTTACTCGTAATTTTATTCCCTTTGTTAGTCTCATGGATTGCAAAATGGCAGCTCAGATGAAACAGCCAGAATTGCAAATAGTGAAAATACAATTCAGAATGTCTTGGAACAATTTTTTTGTCAAAAAGGCGAAAGGAATCGAAATGGAAAAGACTATCTCAGAAGACTACTATCAAAACATGAAGACCACTATTGAGGAAATGAATTCTTCTATTTCATCTCTCGAAAGAGATATTGCAAATACCTGTAGTACATTTTGATTCATGAATATGTAAAGTGCATGGTTTTAATTGCATATTAATCATACACCTTACTTACATTTTATTCTGAATATTAACATTTTAGGAAAAGAATTCAGATGTGAGTAAATTTTTCATTCCCTAAAAATCTCTACCTGTTAAATTTCATACACATTACTCATTATCCCTATTTCGGTCAAAGTCTTTAAGTGAATATGAATCTTAAAATAAAATCAAAATTTGTGAAAATAATGGTTAATATTTAAATTACAAATACAGATGAATCGGGCGGTTTAGGACAATACGCCGTCCCAGCCCCAACTTGGCCTTATGGGTAAACAATCAAATTCAAATCCGCCTTCCAAGAAATACCGACCTTGACATACGGTTTATACCTGCTTGATTCCGCTGGTACAGTGAACCTTCGTATAAGCACAGAGGTGAAGAAAGTGACCCGGACAGGGTTTATGTTCAGGGGTATTTGATTTATTAATTGCATGAAAAAAAAAAATAAAAAAAAACTTAGTAAGTTGTACTACTCTGGTTAGCCATTGTAGCGCATTTAAAAAATTCTTTCGTTTACAGTATATTATTTCCACCTGTAATGAGTACTGTGTCGACAAACAATTAAACAAATGGAAAATACATGATACATAATAGATGATAAAGAAATTCATTTCCAGATTCACTCGACCTCTTAATCTGCTCTTGGACATATGTGGCCTATATAAAATTCAATGGAATGGAACGTTTTTTTTATTTAATTTTGTTAAACTGCAAAATATGTTGGTATCTTTTTGATTTTAATGCAAATATGAAACTTGAGTTTACTTTCCAGCCATATCCGAATATCGAATGACTTTTTTAATCAGCAATTAAATGTTTCATGCGACATAAGCTGATATAGATATGATATATGTCCATTTCAAATAAGTGCTTTCAAATGCGAGAAAACTCCAGTTTTCCTTCCCTTTACGAGTAAAAAAATAATATCTTCCTGGAGGGTTATAGGAAAGAAGGAGAAGTGCATTAACCTCTCTGACAGGTACGTTTTCGATCCTTCTTAATGTCTCAACTTAAACGCCACAGCATGTAGTGTTTTTAAAATTCCGAGAAGTTGGGCGCAAAGGGAAAATATGAAGGAAATGTAATATTTGAATAAATGGAATTTATTCACTCGTGGGACAGAACTTGTAAACCATATTTTTACTATGCATCTCATATCCTAAAAAACACGATAATCCTGCCAAACTCATGAAATGAATTTCATACCAATTAACAACAAGATCTTTATATATACATGTATTTTCAGATTTGGTTGTTCGAAATTCGTTGTCCTGTTTCAAATAAAAGTGAATTTATTTGATTGATTTAGGGGTACTTTTGATACCATTAGCACTCTGCATATTGACGAATCATCCTATTATGTGATGATTGCATTTTGTGCCTGAGTTATCCGCTTTGTTTCCCAAGGAATTTTTCATTTTGAACAAACATCACTCATGGAACAACACATGTCTGCTCAAAATGAATCTATTAAGTAAAAAACTTTGTATAGAGACATTTATGCAATATTTTGAAGCTACAAGTATTTTTTTAAGTATTGATTAATTTAAAAGTGTATACATGTATACTCTTTAAACGCAATATTTTCAAAATCTGTAATGATTTGGAAGGATGTACAATTTTATACATTTTTATTTTTCATATACAAATATAGCAAAGCGTCATAAACCCATGCAACATGTAAACTAATAATTCAATCAATAGTTAAGCAATCAATCAATTAGTCAAGCAATCAATTGTTCAATATGTATTCAATTTATTTTTTTCCTTTTCCATTTTCTTACAAGTCTTTTTTTTTTCAGGAAAGAATTTATTTCATATTGATAAAAGTTACTGTCTGAAAAATTTAAGAAATGATCATGATATCGAAGTGTCATCAGCTTTTCCTTTCTGTCTCCCCTATTATTTTAAATAATTAATGTAATTTTCGGATTAGATGATGTGTTACTATCGGTACAAAGTAGTGGGTGCATTTCTTCTGGTCACATTAGCTGTTAATCAAGTAAGTCGCGTTTAAATAAGTTCCATTTCTTACCCTGGAACCAGCCAGTAAAACAAATCTTGAATTCCCTTTAATAGTCTCATGGATTACAAAATGGCAGCTCAGATGAAACAGCAAAACTTGCTAATTGTGAAAATCCAATTCAGAGGGTCTTGGAATAATTTTTTGTCAAAAAGTCGAAAGGAATCGAAATGGAAAAGACTATTGCAGAAATGACGTCTACTATCAAAACTTTGAAGACCACTATTGAGGAAATGAAATCTTTTATTTCGTCACTCCAAAGAGATATCTCAAATAGTATGTTTTGATTCATGAATACATAAAGTGCATTGTTTTAATAACTTAATCATACACCCTTACTTACATTTTATTCTAAATATCATTATATCATTTCAGGGAAAGAATTCAGATGTGAGTGAATTTTTCGTGCCTTAAAATAATTAGATTTACTTACTAAAATTCATATAATACTGTAAACCAACTTTTATTCGCGTGAGAGAAATTTTTCGCGACCTACTTTAAGTCGCGAATATTAATCGCAGCAAACCATTTATTTTGATTTGTTTTTGTAGAAAATGTTTCAAACTGAGAAATGAAGTATTAAAGAAGACGCGAATAATTGTTGGTTTACAGTATATAAACAATTATCACTATCCTTATTTCGGTCAAAAATTTTCAAGTAAAGTAAAATCTGAAAATAAAATCAAAATTTTCATTTATAATTTTTAAATTTCAAATATAGGTGAATCGGGTGTATCAAGACAACACAAATTTCCAGCTCCCACTTGGCCTTATGGACAAACAATCAAATTCAAAACCGCCTTCCAAGAAATACCAACCGTAACATACGGTTTATACGTGCTTGATTCAGATTACACAGTTAACCTTCGTATAAGCACAGTGGTAAAGGAAGTAACCAGGACAGGGTTTAGTGTAAAGATCAAAACATGGGAAAACTCGGTGCTGTATGGAGCTAGAATCAGCTGGATGGCTTGTGGTAGATAAATCAGTCAATGTCATGTACAAAAACATCACCTCTACATACTGTTAGGCTTCACGGAAGGATGATAATAAATTTTAAACGCAATTATTTACATTGTGTCTTTTTTTATTTTGTGATATAATCAAAGATGAAAAAAATACAGCAACACGTTTATATAAGTATAACTGATGCGAATTCGTTATGTAGGAAACGTCTGTTGCTCTAGACCTGGGGTTACTAGTATATACCCTGAACCAACCCTCTTTATAATGTCGGTCTTGTCTCCAGCGCCTGTGTAAAAAATAAAAAAACATGTATTTTTTAATCATTGAAATTTCATGCATAAAAAATATGCAAAAAATTTTTCTCACTTGCATTTATAAATGCTAATTGTGACGTAATAAACATGTGAATTTTCTCGCATTTTCGTATTTACACCGATTATAAATGGTATTTTGTTTCAGAAAATATTGTCCACAGGCATCACTCACAAAGATTTTGAGATATTTGAATTTTCATTGTATTTCATTGTATTTCGCACAACATATCCAAATATTAAAGTGGGCGACGGCTGCGGGCGCTATTTTCTAAAGGAAAATTCGCTTTGAAATAAGTCATTTTGAGGTTTTTTCTGTTAAGAGAAATGCATCAAATTAATAACGTCATATTCCAAGAATAGTACTCCTTCATGTCATATTCATTCCTAATCTTTCATAGTCATAAACTCAAATAGTATTCAAGCCAGTTTCAAAACTTTTGGAAATAATTTAAAATTTTAGGGTACAATAAAGCTAAAACCATACCTTCTTTAATTTAACGTTCACGGTAGCTTAGTCGGTAGAGCGCTCGCTTTGTGATCGGGAGGTCGTGAGTTCGTATCTCGGCCGCGTCTGACCTAAGTCGATAAAATGGGTAGCAACTGTTCCTTCGCCATGCGTTCGGCACTTTGAAATGAAAGTTGCGGGTCCTTCAGATGAGACCTTAAAAAACAGCGGCAGGCGTTGGCACGACAAAGATCCCGCAGTGCTTAAAGGCCTTGAGTGCCGAGTAAAAGGTCAAAATTTGAAGCCCTTCACCGGCATACGGTGACGTCTCCATATGAGTGAAAAAATTTCGGGAGGGACGTTAAAAAATATACAATCAATCAAACAATCTTCTTTATTTAAGGACTTACAAATATAACAATGTACATCTTGAGCATTCTGCATATAAATTAATCATCGTATTTCGTGATGATTGCATTTTGCCTGTGTAGTTGGCTTAAATTGTTTCCTGGGGAAATTTTTCTTTTGAACCAACATCACTCATGCTTCCACACATGAAATTATGGTTCAAACGGTACCTGGTGAAAACGGCACTTAGTGAAAACGGCACCTGGATTATGCAAAACGGCACTTGGTCAAAACGGCACTTAGTGAAAACGGCACTTGATCAAAATGGCACTTATAGAAAAAGTATATATGCAATGATAATTTGATATATATATATATATATTTATATACCTTTGTGTGTGAGCATATATAATGATATATTATATAATTGTTTTCCTGGGAGGATCCAAGAAAACAGTTAATTCATGTGTACAGTGTAATAAGTTTTTATGAAATCTATATGAACCTACATAGAGATTATTAAAGGGGATGTGTGAAATGGTCTTTTGTTTCTTATTCCTACAAGTGTATTCTAAGTAAAAATACTCCAACTGGCTTCTTATTATTTTACTGTGACTGCATGGCAACCCCAAAAACAGAGTAGTATACATATTTGCAGTGCTAAAAAAATTTAAATTTCAAAGGATCATAATAATATAATTTGGATTTGATCTCTTTTGTAGAAAATAATAGACATACAATTTAAAGAAGAAGTACATTTAAAAAATCTAACCACTGTACAAAAGTATAATAATTTTCAAAATATTCAGAATTAGTATTTTTTTCAAATATATTTTCAAACATTTTTATCAATAATAATATACGCATTTATTACTTTAAATGTAATAAAAAGATTCATTTTCTGTATAAACAATATCAAATTCTCAAAATAAAAAAAAAATTGCCCTTTTGACTACTCCCAAGTGCCGTTTTGCATATTTCCTAAGTGCCGTTTTCACCAGGTGCTGTTTTGACTTGTACCAAAAAACAAGTGTCTGCTCTATTAAACGATTGATTGATTGATTGTATACTGTTTAACGTCCCTCTCCAGAATATTTCACTGACATGGAGACGTCACCATGTCGGTGAAGGGCTCCAAATTTAGGCTATGCTCGGCACTTACGACCTTTGAGTAGGGAGGGATCTTTATCGTGCCACACCTGCTGTGACACGGGACCTCGGTTTATACGGTCTCATCCGAAGGACCGTCCCATTTAGTCGCCTTTTACGACAAGCAAGGGAATACTGAGGACCTATTCTAACCCGGATCCCCACGGGTAGCTCTATTTAACGATAATACACTATTAAAATAGGAAACATAGTGCAGACACATATATTTTATTTTGTGCAGGCACAAGTATTTTGTAAGTATTACATGTAGTCAATTTAAAAGTAATTATTATGATTACAAAGGAAATTTTCCATGGGTTAATAATTATTTAATATTGATGCCTCGTAAAACGGAAGATTTCTGTGGTTGGGTAGTTTTTCCAGCTGAAGAAAAAAGCATGAAAGCAATTGTAATACTAGTAAAATGTAGAACAAATGTCACCTCCAAACTTTCTTGTTTTGAAAAGAATAAAATTGTAAAATTATTGTATATTTTGTAATGGAAAAAAATCACAGATTTTTTGGGGGGAAATACAGTGTATTTATTTTCTTTTCACGACAATTGCTTCTACCCTTTTCTTTTATCTGGCATGATTGGGAACGGCGTACAAAGTTTTATAAATATATTAACGTTTCTTATAAATGTATATTAAGCCCATGCGACTAGAAATTCCTGCAATCAGCCTTGCAATGTAGTCGAGTTTATTTTCTTTTCCGATTTTTCTTACATGTCTGTTCTATTTTTAAGGAAAGATAATTTGTTTTGAAAAAAAGTCTTGATAATTAAAAAAAAAATGAATAGGGTACATGTATCGGAGTGAAAGAAGCTTTTTATGCGCCCGGATCGAAAGATCCGAGGCGTATATTGTTTTTGTCCTGTCTGTCTGTCTGTCTGTTTGTCTGTTTGTCTGCAAACTTTAACCTTCGCCATAACTTTTGAACCATGAAAGATAGAGACTTTATATTTGGTATGCATACTCCACTAATAAAAGCTCTTTCAAATGACACCAAGGTCAATGACCTTGTTACCTTGACTGTGACCTGTATGCTAAAAATAGAGGAATTTTTGCAAACTTTAACCTTCGACATAACTTTTGAACCATAAATGATAGAGACTTCATATTTGGTATACATACAGGGTGTCCCAAAATATATGTTACACTTTTAATCATCTATAACTTTATCAAACCACAAGCATTCACAAAGATATTTTGTCAACATCTTGTGTATTAGCATATATTTTGTCTGACAAACCTCCATGAAATTCTTTTAAAAATTCAGGTAATTATGATGTCCAAATGACGTCACTATATTTTTGATATGAAACCTTCATGTGAACAGCTGAGAAAAATTGTCAAACTTTAATATGGGTGTAAATCGGCTACTTTAGTCATTAGAACCATGAGAAAACAACATACTGTAATGAAAGTACCCAACAGAATGCTAATTTACAGATTTGTGAGGAAGTTTGAAGTTAAAGGCAACATAAATGACACATGACTTAATTCTGGTTTTAGAAGATCAAGGAGTGCCTGTACCAAACAGAACATTAATACCATTAATACAGCTATTACTCTACTGAAACTTTATTTTAAAAAATCCCTTAGACGGGTCCTGCATGAACAAGATAGCACCTTTGGTAAATCTAGCATTCACACAATACTCGAATTCGATTAAAACTGATTTCTCATGAGATAAATGTAATGCAGCATTTGAAAGAGACAGAAATAAAAAGTTGTTTAGAGTTTGCCCATTTGATTTTAATTAGTCCCAACTCTGAAAATTTAACAGATATGCATCGTTTTCCAATGAAGCCCACTTCCATTTTAACAATGTTCTTATCCTAAATTCTAGTGTTAGGTGAAACCCAACTTTAATGTGAAAAGACCTCTAGAATGTTAGGAAGTTACATTTAAAACCTGGTAAAAAAAACCTTCAGAAATTGTGTTCAAACAATGTTAATTCCAAGGGATGTAATTTGGCACATGCTGTAAAATGACCTATGTTATTCTAAAGAAAAAAAATCCGATAATTTATATGGAAACTGTAAAAAATGTATGCTTGACAAAAAATTTATAAAAATTTAAGTATATATTCTAAATTTCTTTTAATGTTACTTGAGGCATTAAATTTTTATAACGGTTTAAAAGTGTAACATATGTTTTGGGACACCCTGTACAACACTTATTAAGCTCTATTAAAAGACACCATGGTCAATGACCTTGTGACCTTGACTGTGGCATATACGCTAAATATATTTTTTGACGGCAAACTTTAACCTTCGCCATTACTTTTAAAGGAAGAAAGATAGAGACTTTTATTTGGCATGCGTACTCCACTAATGATTTCCTTTCACATGACACCAAGGATAATGACCTTGTGACCCTGACTGTGTCTTATATGCTAAAAATATCTTTTATGATCTTTCAGCATAACTTTTGAACCATGAAAGATAGAGACTTCATATTTAGTATGCATACTTCACTAATCAAGATCTTTCAAATGACACCAAGATCAATGACCTTGTGACCTTCACTGTGACCTTTACAATAAAAATATGTTTTTTAAATTTGTTGCCGCCGGGCGCATGGTGTTTCACAAACACATCTTGTTCCTATATGTTTCTAGCGGTACATAATAAAGTCCCTAATATTTTAAATATTTAATGTAATTTCAGATTAGAGGATGTGTTTCTATACATGTAGATATATGGTAGTGAGTGTATTTCTTCTGGTCACATTAACTGCTTGTCAAGTAAGTCAGGTTTTAAATAAAGTTTCATTTTCGTATGTGTTTTATTTTTCCAGAAAATATATATAATTTTGAGGGGAAAATGTGATTATTTTTTAGAATGAACATGATATCAAAGTGTTTTTTCTCTACTACCACTAGGTTGTTAAACCGGGTAGTAAAAAAAATCTTGCAAATTTTGGATAATATGCTTTTACCAGTACATGTGTTTCTTTTTTTCGTGCATTTTATCTCTCCCCCTTCACTTTCCTTATCCATTCCCTCTTCACTACCCATCTCTCTATTTTAATTGTCACTATTAAAATTATACTGTTACTTATTTCAATATACGATATATGTTTGTATATGATTCATTGCTTTCTTTAAAATTATTAAATAGTGGTAAAAGAGTCGTGTTTTATACAATAAAAAGAAAAAATGATTCACTTAAAGGAAGCATAACATATGAAACTAAAATAATGAATGTTGTGTTCCAGCATTTCATGTAACGAAATCCATTGAACAATTCTACTCAATCGGTGAGAAAAGTAGTATTATCATGGTAGTCTATCTCTAACATACTTCTTAGTTAAAATATCTTGCTAATCTTATAATGATTTGAGATTTTATAATTTAAATGCACTTTTAACAATGGTTTTCAAATCATAATTCTATTCCCTTCGTTAGTCTCATAGATTACAAAATGGCAGCTCAGATGAAGCAGCCAGAATAGCAAATGGTGAAGGTCTTGAAGCAATTTTTTGTCAAAAAGTCGAAAGGAATCGAAATGGAAAAGACTATCGCAGAAACGACGTCTATAATCAAAACTTTGAAGACAGCTACTGAGGAAATGAAATCTTTTATTTCGTCTCTCGAAAGAGATATTTGAAAAATGTGAAGTGCGTTTTTAATTACTTAGTCATACACCTTACTAACATTTTATTTTAAATATCAATATATCATTTTAGGAAATGAATTCAGATGTAAGTATATTTTACATTCCCTCAAAATAATTATTGCATTTTTGCCTTTTGATGATGTACAGCTATATTTTTCCATACAAATGTAAGTAATGATACATAAGTGCTTTCGATATGTTCTTTTGTACGAGGGCCGTTCAAAAATTACACGGATTGTGCTATTATATACTCTTGCAGACGTCATATAGTTATGAAATTTGACAGAAATATAAATCTTAAAGATTCCAATAAATTTTGGGCAAAATCTTTGTTTTTTTAAAAAAATTCTTCGGAAATTATCGGTATGTTGATATCGCTGATGGAGAGGTACGGAGCACGACAAAAAATCTGAAACAAAAGCATGCGGAATCCAAAATTTAACTCATTTATTTTCTTTAATTCGTGATTCTTTTCGACAATTTTCTCAAATGTATCTTTATATTGTTCTAATATTATGTATTTAAATTTCTGACATGATATTTGAAGTACTAACAGAAATATAGTGATTTTTTCCGATGCCATTCCCGTGAAAACGACTGTGAAAATAACGTCTCCTAAATTGACGGCGCACCATACTTTTGTTTAATTATGTGTAATGCTCTAGATATTGCCAACATAGATCCAAACTATGCATAATAAAACGTGTAGTAAACTAGGGTATTCGTGACATTCGTCCACAAATAGCAAATCGGAATTGTAGACCGTTAGGTCTCTGTAAAAAGGCTATACGGGAGGTCGGGAAGAAGATTATAGACGTAAACTTTATCCGGACTGTAAAGAACGTGATTGAGAGTCACCAATATCAGACTATATCTCATAAATACCTGCAGTTTTTGGTTTTAAAACAAAAAAAATATCCTTTCCTTGTTTAATAGATTTTAAGCTCGACAGGAAATGGTGTTTGGATGTTGAGTAGATAATACAAGGTAACTCAAACTGTACAGGTACTCTTGGGAAAATGTACGTTGAGAAAATGAAAGCTCAATCACATATTATACAAATATGGACTCAATATAGGTCAATATGCATTTGTAATGACCCAGGATGACAGATATTGACCTCAGATACATGGTGTATATCGACCGAGGGCGCTAGCCCGAGGTCGATATACTCCATGTATCTGAGGTCAATACCTGTCAGCCTGGGTCATTATAAATGCATATTGACCGTGCATTGAGTCCATATTTATTATATTATATAAATAATATTTTCCCAAATTTATTGATACAATGTATATCTTCTTAATGTTTACAGAGACCGTATTAACCATAAATGAGTTGAATGTAAATGTTTCAGAATTTATTGAATGTTACTCAGAGGAACTTGTTTCGGGAATAAATATTAACCCGCCATAGCATGATAATAACGCAAAATAGGCCTATCTATCTCCGAATAACACAGAGCACCCCCTCCCCCAGATTGTGAATCGAACTCGTTTACACTTGCAGATGAAATTATATGCACTGACAAAATATAAATACCTATTTCTTTTACGATAAGATACAATACATGGCACGCTAGTCTTTATTTTCTTTAGTCTCCGTAATTGCGAAAACAGCGTCAAAACTCTGCTCGCCGAGTGGAAAAGTCGAATTCAACCATGAAATAGTGTGTGCTAAGTATTCCCGAAAAATGTTCACAGATATCTTTGTAATTGTTTTGTATTCTGAGTCTCAGAGTTCTTCACTATACATTTTAAATTTTCCTCACCTACAACTTACAAACTTGTGAACTTCCATGTTTGTCTAAAGCGAAAGTGAAAACGAGGCAGCTCGTGCGAGTCATTATTCGCTTTCAGCGGTCGTTATTAAAAAATATTTACTTCGTATTGACCAATCAGATCACTGGATTTCACAAAGTTATATAATATTTTTTTATAATGCCTGTGACATCGAAGATTTTGCTGCTCCGTGACTCAATGATATATCCTGATAAATCACTCAAAATTGATACCAATTTACATCATTTTGATATGAAATTTTGAAGACCATATAAGTAAAGATTCTGTTATATTATGTGTGACATTTTGCCCTAATATGTAGTCAATTATTTTTCCTGTGCAACAAGTCCGCGTAATTTTTTAACGGCCCTCGTAATATGTTTTTCTGTTCACTTTACAAAAACTGCTTTTTACATTTTCATGTACTCTATTTTGCAGTTGTACTTAAAAATTGTTTTTTACAGAGAATGTTAATTTTATTAGTGTTTTTCTCTGTCATTTATTTTCAGCCACATGTTTATGCAATATTTTACCGGAAAAAAAAAGACATTGAACTCTCTGAATGTCTTATTTTCTATTGGCGTTAAGCAAACAAACGTAATTATTTTTACTTGTTAAAAATCATATACGGGTACATTTATCACTATCCCTATTTCGATAAAAAAAAATTCAAGTGAAGTAAAATCTGAAAATAAATCTTAATTGTTCATTTATATTTTTTGAATTTCAAATATAGATATTTACATAACGCCTTTCCAAAAGGCGTTATTACGCCTTTATAAAAGACGTTATTACGCCTTTCCAAAGGCGTTAATACGTCTTTATTTTGAATACATGACTAAACATATTTAGCCCAACCGAGGGGTGGAGTGTTGTGGGGGAGGGGTGCAGAAATCTTACCTTTGGGACATGAATTTTACAATTTGATATAAGTCTTTAAGTCACCTATTCAAAATCTGAATAGGTGATATCACTTAATCAAATATGTGAAATCACCAACTGAATAGGTGATATCACCTTTTCGAATAGGTGATATAACTTTTGTCAGTAAATACCAAAAACGGCGCCTCATACCTATGGATTAAATCACAGTTGTGAAAACGTAGTCATAAATATGTTTTTTTATGCTGTTGAATTTTGTACCGGTTCATGATCAAAATTCCACGATCCGGCTCAGTTTTAAACGGATTAGGGTCTAAATTCAACACCTTTGGTCTCAGTATTCAACGTTGAAAAATGACCCCCGGGGCAATTTTAAACTCGGGTCAAAATTCAGCGTTACACCGGCATGAAGCGTCGTAGTTCAGAACCTCATGAATCTTCAAAAATTAAATTCATTTCTGAAGTGAATCGGGTGTATCAGGACAACACAAATTCCCAGCTTTCACTTGGCCTTATGGACAAACAATAAAATTTAAAACCGCCTTCCAAGAAACACCAACCGTAACATACGGTTTATACGTACACAGTTAACCTTTGTTTAAAAACAGCGGTAAAGATAGTTACCAGGACAGGGTAGGGTAAGTATCACAACATGGGGAAATGGAGCTAGAATCAACTGGATGGCTTATGGTAGATAAATCATACAGTGTCATGTACAAAAACTTCATGTATATATACTGTTACCCTGTACGGAAGGAGGATAATAATTTTTTAACGCAATTATTTACAATGTGTCTTTTTTTGCAATTTAAGCAAAGATGAGAAAATATACGAGCAACACGTAAATATTTGTATACCTGCTTCGAATTCGTTATGTAACCAATGTCTGTGGCCTTAGAACTAAAGTTTATGGCACGCCAAATTCATAAAAATGAGCTAAGTATAGTTTCACAGTCACTAAACAAAGTTTATCGGTTGTAAACTATAGTTTACGAACTGTAAACAATAGTTAACAACGTTTATATTTTACATCTGTAAACCATAGTTAACGCAATAATCTATGTTTCAGAACCGTAAACTATATATTTAATACTAAAAACAATCATTCGCAATTGCAATACCTAGACTATTTGATTTATACAGTTTCACGATTTGTAAACTAAGGTTTACAAGTCTGAACTATAGTTCAGGATTGTAAATTAAAATTTACAGAGGTGAATCTATGTTTATCAACAAAATCTATTGTTATCGTTTTATGACAGACAGATAAACTTAGATATGCATTCGTAAACTATAGTTAACAACCGTTAAATACAGTTTTACAGATGAAAACTATTGTTAACGGTTTTTAAACTATAGTTTACAGCCGATAAACCTAGTTTATCAACTGTGAAACTATGTTTAACTCATTTTTGTTAATTTGGCGTGCCAAAGAAGTTAATAATAATTACCCTTTACCAACCCTCTTTACAAAGTAAGTCTGGACTCCAAACGCCTGTGGATATTGTGCTAGCGGAATTTCAGGATAAGTGATCATTGAAAATTTCAATTCCTATTTGTTTTCTGTTTGATAACGTTTTGAAAGTTTAATTGCTTTCTTGATAACTCGACTGGAATGTTGATTTCACCAAGCCTTGTCATAATAAATATCCATGCAAAGTATGAAAGCCCTAGTGCCAACTGTTCAAAGGTTATGACCAAGGTTAATGTTTGATATTTCTTTGTAAAAGTGGGTCAAATACCAAGGTCACAGAGGCCAAATTTGGTTTACCCGAAGAACATCCTTGTTACAAAGAATCCATCTTTAAAATATAAAAGGCATAGGCCCATCCTTTTCAAAAGTTATGGTCAAGTTTAAAGTTTTTGCGGACAAACAGACAGATGGAAAACGGACAGGGCAAAAACTATATCCCCCGAATCTTCCATAGATTGATAATTTGGTGAACAAGAAACGCTTAAAACCTTTTTAAACAATTGTAGGTTCATTGCATTCAAAGACAATGTGGTTTTTTCACAATTCTATAAACATGGCTATTTATATAAAACTATAAGACAAGGAATAAGTTTCAAAATTTTAATTTTGGCTTTTGGAAGTACTCAGCTGCATAAAATAACATATATACAGAACATGAACATGAACACAGACAACATTTCTAAATTAGTATAATGATATAAACAACAAAGGCCGATGGCCTTGAAGAAGAGGGCCGATGGCCCTTGTTGACCGATGGTCAGAGCGAGGCCGATGGCCTTAAAAACTGAAGGCCGATGGCCTTAAAAAA